CCTCCATCAGCTGCCGCTCCGACACTAGTCGGGACAGCTCGCCCACCACCGTCACGTGTTTGGACACGGTCCCCGACATCTTCTTAAACTGGGGGTAGTTATCTACAAACGCCTACAGTGGGTGACACAGGACACATCAACGTTTTTTGAAAAGCATCACATAATTAAAACATTCAAACATTCCACAAATACAAGAAAAAATAAGTATAAAAGTTTTCCTTCCATCTATGTTCTGCTCCTCCAGGTCCAGCAGTCTGAGCACAGACCTTCCTGGGTCTGCCTCAGCCCTCTTCCCAGGGACACGCCCAACGTTCAGTTTAATTATATTTTATTTATAAAGTGTCACATTACAAAAACAACAGTCGCCTCAGGGCACTTTATACTGTAAGCTGGACCCTACAATATTACATAGAGAGAAAACAACAATCATGTGACCCCCTATGAGCAGCACTTCGGCGACAGTGGGAAGGAAGAACGGACACTCATAAGCTCATCCAGCGTTCCATGACCAGGAGGAAAAGCACATTGCTCCCCCTGAATCCAAGGTTCGGCTAACAGATGGGCTCGCCTCTCCATCACCCTGGCATAGAGGCTGAGGAGTGTGATCCCGCTAAAGCGGGATGGTTCTCCCATTCCATGGGAGCTCTCCCTGCTCCGGCCCATTTGTCAGCCAATCAATACCCAGCAGTTCCTCCCGTCATCTGATTCCAACAACCAGCAGTCAGGAGGGCTGCCGAGCGCATCTCGGGAAAACTGCTCTGCTGTCTGACTTCGTGCACAGACGGACACATCTGTTGTCCATGAAACCAGATTTAGGGACCTCGGGTCACAGCTCATCCACCCTGTTGGTCCTGATAACGTTTTAAATACGTCAACCTCAGCGACTCACTGGGTCATGAGTACAGATAAAAGTCTTAAATACAGGAGACTCCAAATCACAAGTTAGGAAATGCACGTTTTTGGGCCCCAACAACGCAATCGTTAAGCCTTACGGTTGTTATCCATCCAACCATCCTCTTCTGAATGTCTTGATGCTCAATGATCCAGGTAAGTAAATCTCCAGAAGTTGAATTTGAAGAAGAAGAAGAAGAAGAAGTTGATTCTGTTCATCTGGACGTAGCGTTTGTGGGAGAAACGTTTCATCATCAGGTGACGTCTTCAGTCTCAGCTGCAGGCTTCAATCTTATAAACAGGACATTTGCATAATGACTGAAACCAGCCCACTGAAGGAACAATGGGCTGTGAGGTCAGTTCCTTAATCTTAATTATGCAAATTCTAATGACCATTGATCAACAACCACTGATCAATAACCATGAGTCCCATTCACAGAGAGTTGGGGAATGGCTGCAATCACAGCATGTAAGATGGTGACAGATGGACCCTTAGGCCCCTCCTCCATTCAGAGATGGTCTTTCCCTTTTCACATAAATGGCCTCCTTGACTCCGCCCTCAAACCAGCGTTCCTCCCTGTCCAGGATGTTACATCCTCATCACTGAAACAGTGTCCACTGGCCTGTAATCTTAATAATTAAGATTGAGGAGCTGACCTCCAGCCCATTGTTCCTTCAGTGGTTTCAGTCATTATGCAAATGTCCTGTTTGTAAGGTTGAAACCTGCAGTCAGCTGAGACTGAAGACGTCACCTGATGATGAAACATTTCTCCCCAAACGCTACGTCCAGATGAACAGAATCAACTTTTGGAGATCCTCTTCTGAAGTCATGGTGGGTAAGCAGGTTCTTACAGACATCCTCCCCCCGCCTCACACTTTCCCTCCTGGGAGACACGAGGCCTTCCGACGATAGACCCTGGGATCCTCCCTGCGCCCAGAACGCCTCCAATGGAAGGTGCCATGGAGGCGTCCTAATCAGATATCCAAACCACCTCAGCTGGCTCCTCTTAACACACGAGAGAAGCGGCTCCACGCCATCTGGAGGTTTGAGTTACTCGATCTGTGAGGCTGAGCTCAAACTCATTTCAGGTTTCATGACCACAGCTGAGGGCTGAGGTGGACTGGTCAATCAAGACCTTTGGCCACCTCTCTCTTCACCACGACAGTCCAATACAACGCCCACACTAGTGCTGACACTGCACCAACTCGCTGGCCCGATTCACGCTCCACCTCCCCATCACTTCAACTCTCTTGCTTGTGGCGACCTCCATCCTCCAATCCAGAGGGAGCATTCCAACATTTGTCAGCAGTTGCTACGACGGGGAATTAACTACAGAGGCCGAACCAGTTGTGTATCAGACATGATTATTTCTGCATGTTAACACAGCAGTCTGAGGGGACTCCCTGCTGAAGCCTCTGGACTGCAGAGGAACTCACATCTCCAGC